AGAAGAATATGCTGATCTAAATCTTTTAAGGATTCTTAGAGTTTGTCACAGTAGGTATAGACAAACACAATAAAGACATTTTTATTCTACAATAAAATCTGAGTTTTTAATAAAAAGTTGAACATATTCCATAAATGATTGACTATATAAAAATCTTTTCAGTGTTACTCTGGTGCATCTCTAATGCAGAGATACTTCTTAAAATATTAAAAGCAACATTAAACCATGTCAATAACAAAAGCTTTTATAATAGACTCAGTTCCCAAGAGTTTATTAAATAAATGTTTGTTAAAAAGTTCCACTTCTCCGGTCTGCCTCCTAGTAGTCTTATAAAAAAATGCAGTCAAGCTGCTCACACATAAAGGTACACAGATACCCAGAAAAACAAAGCAGAAAAGATGGAGAACGCTAATTGGATATTAGAGATGCTGATGCTCTATCAGTATGGGAAAAGACATTTTCAGTATAAGCGAAGAGAACACTCAGACCAGCTGCTCTACGTTTACAACCTATAATTAATCTCACTCATATATGGATATTTATTTTTCCTCCACAATACTAGCCTGCTTTATTGAATGGAAATAGATCATCCTCAGAGTAACTAAAACACAAGGGCAGCTAAAAAAATTTCTCTGACCTTATACTGCAGTTATAATAAGTTAGATCCAACTTTATGCCTCAGTAAAGCCAAAAGTGTGTTAACTTTTCTATTTGAAAACCTGTTAATCAAACATCTAGCTTTCATTAGCACAAAGTCAGCATTTGCTAACATTTTAGAAAAGATAAACTACTTCCAAAGATTTGATTCAGCGAAGGAGTCAGATGTGAAATCCCAATTCATTGGTACCACAGCAAATTATACAAATACACATTTCTTGCCATCAACACCTAAATATAAATAAATGCCAAAGATATACATCAAAATGCCTAAAAGCTCCTTTGAAATACTGAAACCAGTAGTATGAACCCTTCTGCATCATTTTTTTTTCATGTAGTGAAAACATTTTGACAAGGTTTTTTGTTGTTATTCAGTTTTAGAATGGCTTGGTTTGGGTACAGCAGATGCTGCAATCTTAATAGAGTATCACTATGTAATTTCAACCTTCTCTATATTCTCAGTGTCCATTCCTAAAAGGTGAGATTTTTATGAGAATTATTAAAATGTTTTCATTTCAGTCATATGGGTAAAAAATTAATTTGGTAGGACAGCATTACCAGAGTGGACTTGAAATGCATTTACTTTAAAGAATATTTGTTCCCCTATGCATTCATCCATGTGTATGCACACCGGCACAAACATTTATGTTTTATAAAAGCCCAGTTGTCTACTCAGCTTGCTGTAGCTACAGGTGCCTCAGCCATATATAACCACAGCTATATACCTGATAACTAAACCTATACCATCAGGAACTTCTTACAACAGCTTTGACAGAAAGCATCATCAATGTAAAAGATGAGAAGCAGACTTAATCTTCCCTTCTCCTTCTGATATTTGTTCACGTAATCATTGACTGTCTAGAAAGTACTCCTTTTTTTTCTCTTTCCTGGCTGTAGCTCAGCAGATAAGCAAAGCTAAACCACTAGTTTTGTCTTCTGGTGCACAAACAGTACTGAGGTTTTGGTTTAGTTTTTGTTTGGGTTTTGTGGGGGGTTTGTTTGATTGGTTTTGTTTGTTGGTGGTGTTTTGTTTTGGTTTGTTTTTTTTTCCTTTTAAGAGCTTAAGTCCAGAGCTTATCAGACTGTTGTTTTGAGTGGATTCCAGTTCTCTCTCATGAGAAACAAGTTTCTTAAGCCTTGTGTTAAGGAATACTAGGGACATGAGAAACAGAAAACTGCTGTGATGATGTTTCTGTTGTGTGAATAAAGAATGAAGATTCTGGTGTTTTCTGATCTAGTGGCTTTGTACTCAAAGCAAGGACTTTAATTAAAAGATAAACCAATAATATCCCTTTGTCTACAATACCATTAACCTGCTTTTTTTTACAAATTAAACACACTGAAGTAGAAATTGTTTTGTTGTTTGTTTGGGTTTTTTTTTTTGTTGGTTTGTTTTTTTTAATGAAGCTATTACTTTCATTCTCTTGGATCTTTCCCATTTCTTGCACAGATTACTTTCTTGCATTACTTTTAGTTTCATCCCTCCTGAGAGGTGACCCATTAGGTGAGTTACTTTTAATAATGCTTAGGTGTGAAATTAGTTCTAAAGCTTCTGCAGCACTCACAATCCCTACCACAAGACAAAAAGTTGGTACATCTAGATCTGAAATGGTGTTCAAAAGGATGCTATCAACTTAAAATTCATACTGAGACACATCCAGGAAGCACGAGTTTCTTTCTTTCTAAAGCATGTAGAAAAAGCACAGAAGTCCAAGACTGAAAAAGAATAGCCATGGAGGAAACCGGACGAAGACTATCAGGGAAGAGGGAGTACGCCAGATTAAATTATGAGCTGAATGGAGATGAGCTGAGAAGAGGGGATGAGAATAAGAAAATGGAACATAATGCAGCAGGATTGTGGAAAATACTGAAGACAAAAAAAATGTAAAAAACAAAACAACAGTAATAGGAAGACAGTCATATATGGAGACACAAGACAACTCTACAATGCAAAAAAAAAACAACATTTCCTCACATTGCTGACTGGTTATAACTAGTAGCAATGGTTTTTTGAATGACTGATAAGCCAGACTGAGTTAAGGGCATTCCTCACTTGTCCTTCAGAAGTCATGTATCCTATATATGGAAATGATCCCATTATATTCTGTTAGCTTCGCTATACTCTATCAGATCTCTGTTCTCTGAATCCCCTTCCCTTTCTCTCTTTCTTATTGTTACCAAAACTATGTTGAGAGCCCCACAACAACAAAATGCCCTTGTATAGGCACAATGCAAATTCGCACACAAAAGAGCCCCTCTAGCTCACATCACTCACCCCTAGTGACCTGCAGTTCTTAATCCAGCACCCATCATCATAGACAGTGCCATCAGAGACAGAGGCTGTTCCATTTTGGCAGCATACTCAGCCCAACTTTCAGTCTAATTTCTGTGAGAAGTGGCACTTGTCAATCTGAGTGACAAGTCATCCAAAATTTTAGTATTGCTCTGACACCAATACCTTCTATGAGGTTTAACAAGTAACTGCTTTAGCTTTCTCCTAGTAAAAAGTGAGAAATTATCCCACAAGAAGAAATATGGGCCAGTAGAAAGTACATGCCAGAGCAATTATGTTACTTGATAAATCTTCAGAAAACAGCAATGCATTTCTGCTCGGTTTTATAATACTTCACAGATTCAGGTCTCTCCATAAGCAGAAGGACCCTTGAGCATGACTGCTTATAGTATTTCCTTGTGATGGCAAAACCTATGTACAGCAACCATGAAGGAGTTAAAATGAGGTCAATTATAGAGTTAAACTGAAAGTTGTAACAAATTAAGACCCAAAGACACATAAGCCAGTAAGAGTTAGAAAGTTCTGAGGGTCAAGCAAGCCTCAAAGCTGGGTGGAGTACTGTCAAGTCTAAGCCCTGCTGTCACATATTCTGAAGATTTCATAGGAAAAGTACTTGGCTGGTTTCCTGAGGCTACACATTTCAGTGCCTACTACAAGATACTAAATGCATACCCAACTTAAATCAGCTTTGTTTTTCCTCAGAGACTATTAAGGATGTGCCAGTGGCTACCATTGCTTTAGAGACTTGAAAGTAAATTCCTGGTCAAATATCAAGCTTTATTCATCTTTTTCTTGTTGTCCTTAAACAGAAGAGAGTTCTGGAAAAATCTTTTGGGAGACATAATAAAGACCATGCAAGTACTAACAGAGTTGATAAATCATTTACAAAAAAAGAAAAGGGAGAACATTCTCAAATGCCAGTAAAAGAAATATTTCCATTAATATATGAAGCATAATAAAAACACTCCATTTTAAAACAGACAATTAGATAACTGCCATACCCAAGTATGCAAAACAGTGGGAAGATGTGAATTACGACTAGCAGGAAGCAAGCAATCCAGTGGTTATTCCTTAAGATGCAACTTTCCCAGTGAGAAAACAGGAGTCTACCTATCTATTATGATACAACTCAATGGATGAGTTCAAGCTGCTTGAGAAACAGCCTCAAAAGTTATTGATAAAGACTACTGAGCTTCATTAAATAATGAACCATACACTTGTCTTCTTTCATTAGCTGAGGAGACTGATGTTCATCTACTGATACTGTCCATCCATAGCAATCAAGAGGTATGGGTTATTTTTATTTTCAGAATTTCCTTCATCAATAAAGCACTTTGTTTTTTTTCCACAGGGAGTAAACAGAGTACAGACAGTGCCATAGGAATTTCAAATGTCAGATCTTGCAGTCTCAGATGCTATGCTTTAGCATACTCACACCAATTTCAACAGTATCACCAGTTCACTCCTATAGAGGATTCAGCCCATGATGTTACAAGGTCATGTTAACTCCAGAAAAAAAGAACTGTCCTTTAAAAAGTTTCATCTACTTTAAAATACCAAGGGAAGCTTCTTAAAAAGTTACCACAGAAGTGGATGTGCAGTTACCATCTTTGAAAATTCTTATGCTCAGTGGATATTCAGGAGTTAACTGCAGACTCAGCATCAATTTCTGTCACAGTTAATCAAAGACCTCACATTAATAACGTTGGCAATATGTAGAAACAGTTACCTGATTTCTATGGACAGTGTTACATGAATGGAACCCTTCCTGCCTTTGCATATGTGCTAAATGGTGACTTTTACAGAACATAAAAACTTTGCTGGGTAAATTTAGTTTGCATGTTTAATAAATACTAAAATTCACTGAACTCTATGCAATTAGTCATGACATTGTAGAATTATTTGCCCTTTGTGTTGTCCTCCGTCAACCATTCTGATTTTGCACACAGTAAAACATTTAAATAAATCACAAGTGTATTCACAGACCTAAAGCTATTAATAGGACTTTGTTCAACCTTCAATACTTCATGAGTAAAACAAGTTAACTCACCTCAGAAAACTACAGGAGTCAGCTGACAATCTAGAATTGGGATTAGTTTGGTGATATGTTCAGATTCTGAGGTTTGTTTGTAACAAGTCTGATCCAAGCCCTGCTTAAACCAATGAAGAGAGTATCTTGTTCCTCCAGATGAATTTTCTATCTGTCTCTATATTCTCTGTGAAGAGAACAAGCCCATTTCTTACTTTAAAAAATAAAACACTAAGCAGAACAAAATCGAGCAGTCATCTACAGTTATCAGAATTGACAGAAAGACATTAAGGAATTTATTAACAAAGCAACAAAACAACTGTGATAGCAAGTTGCGACCAGTAGTTGGGCTAGAAATCCTTCTACATTTTTTCCTGCGATGTGAGTATCTGTATTGTACAAAAGCCTGTAGCGTGTTTGAATTATACAAAATTGACTGTGCCTTTTTCAGAAGGAGCCTTCTGAGAACCTAATAAAGAATCAGGGAAAAGATCACACAAACAGACTTGACCTCTTTCCTACTTAAAATTCATAATTTCACTACAGTGTCAAACAGCAAACCAAGCTTAAATAATATTCTTTTTATGAGGATTAAACAAATGAGTAAGTGCAATTAGTAAAGCTGTAATTACCAGTGCAATGTTCCCATTACAGCAATAAAGAGAGAGTGCCTGTGGAATAAACTTTAGTTTCCTTCCTTCCAGGATAGCCAACCACTGAAAGAAATGAGAAAACCATTAGTAATTCAGGATTTTGCCTGCTTTATGCAAAAAAGGTCCCTGCATGTAAATTTCAGATGAACCCACATTCACTGACAAAGCAACTCATTTACTTTGAGAATAGTAAATGGAGAAAATAATTTCTTTTTAGACAGCTGTATGCCTATTTTCACACTGTTGAACAGTTAGTGAAAGATTAACTGGTGTAAATATCTCAGCCCCTTACCCTGAAGGTGTGAACAACACTATTAAGAGCCTTCTTCATCTCCAATGTTGTTTTTTTTATTAAATAAATATACTTGCATAGACAATATTGTCAAAAATTAGACAGCTAAACATATTAAACTATAAACAAGTATAATTAGATCCTGTATGAATACCACTTTCTGTAACTCCAATGAGAGGAAACGACTAGAGTGACAAGGTCTCTGATGCTTTTGTCCCTGAATCTCATTCTATTAAGTCATTTATTCGCTTGCAAACAGCTACCAAAAAGTAAAAAAGAAGAGCATCCCATATGATGCATGATTTGTCTTGAAATAGAGTTTTGCTGCGTACACCAGGGAAAACATCAGAGGACTTGCTAATACATCCGGGTGTCCTTTTACAGCAATCACCAAGCTGGACCAGGTCCAAGAATGATCTCTACCACGTCTCTGGCAGCAGATCTGGCAAGTACAGAAGCCTGACCAGTCAGAATACACTATTTCTGCTGATGAATTCTTCAGTTCACATCTCTGCAGGATTTTACACAAAAACAGGCATCCTGTGATGTGCTTTAACTTTTAAACTGCTGTGCGAAAGGTGGATGTAACTGTCAACATGAGAGGCTGCAACACATTAAGTGCCATCAGTACAATCCCTAGGAGTAAACCACAGAAAGCCTTTCTGGTTTTCTTCAGGATTAAGGCTGCAGCATTCTCTTAGTCACAATGGAGATTTCTCCATGTCTACAATTCAAGGTGATTCCCTCAGCCACGCCCAGCAGACCTTATTCTGTTCCTAAAAAAAGTCTTGTTTACAAATGGACAGGTCCTGTCACTTGTAATTCTCAGGGTACTCAGGAGTCTGATCTTGTTTTCAAACAGTCTGAACCAGCCTTATAAACTCTGAACCCTAAACTTTTTATGGCATCCTATTGGTGATACAACATCATACCTGTTGCTGTAGCATTGGTATGCATGCAGAATCCAAGATACATTTTAGCTGCGCAGGAAGTGAGAGGAATTAGCTCAGTCATATTCTTACTTCCTTTGGTTGCAGTCACTAAAGTTTAATTTTTACTTGACAACATTTAAAAATATCTGCAAAAACTCAAATTTTGTCCAAAATCCAATCACTATTTTAATCTGTTTTGAAAATACCTGTGCTCACATGACAAAGAATCATTAAACAACTGAAATAGTTTCCTAGCTGCAGGATTCCTGGATATAAAAGTTATAGTCTGCATGCTGAGACAAAAATAATATACAAGCTTAATTCATGGGACAGTGTCTGAGAAGGTATCCCATTAATGAGTTTAACACAGGTCTGCAGCAGAAAACTAACAAAACCTAAAACATATTCTGGGCTTCCTATTCAGAACTACACCATTCTACTGATCCATATGGGTCCCTTCTGACTTGAGATATTCTATGATTCTACTGTGGAACGCAGCTTACAAATTGACCACAATGACCATTACAACCAATGGCTAAATCAGGTGAAAGTCACAACAGTAATCAACAGTACTTTTAACATGTCTATTTATTGTTTAAAAACAAACAGAATAGAAACTGTCTTTTGGCTTAGGACAATGGCACCTGGAAGAAGGCTGAAGAATACTTTATTAAATGAAGATTAAGGGTTCTCATCCCCTTAATTTCCTCTCCATGCAAGAGTGTTGCAGGTAGGAAGGAATGACAAAGGATTCAAGCACATATCAAGTGGCAATTTCTTCAGACAGGAAAAGGCAGGCAGTATGCAACACATTTCACAGTATTTCGTCTGTATCACACACCACTTAAAAATTCAACCATTTAGATAATGAAGAAATGATAGCTGCTTAGGAGAGCTTTCTGTTGTAAACTGCAGCTGCCTGCTTATGCATTATCTGCTTCTCACTGTAAAATGTTAATAGCCTCCATCACTTAGGTAAAATAGAACAACCAAAAACTATAGGCACATTAACAGAGAGAAAGAGTTCTAGGTGCCCTAAAATACAGAAAAGGACCACTGGGAAAGGAAGGGAGATATACAAATTCCATTATCTTGCTTCTGTCACTTTTCTTTGTATATACTTAAAAGTCAGAGGCACACATGTTAGATATTTTTTTCCTATAAACACACCGGGAAGCCTTCAGAGCATAAATAGACTGTTGCTCCATTTAATTTGTAAGAGCTCAACAGAAAGGCCAACTGCTCATGGATTTGACTCACTGAACTCAAAAAGCTACAGAAAGTCAGATGTTCCCCACTCACTGTGGAGTTGTCAAAGTAATGATTTCTTCTGGTCATTTTTCACATGATCTCATGGGATGGACTATGCTTAGTTCAGCACTACATATCTACAGTAGGCAAGGGAATAGCATTGCAACTTTTGCTTTTCCCTTCACTCCATAGAAAGCATTCTTCCATTCAAACAGCCATTAGAGTTCCTACAAGAATTGATGCAGTTACTACAGACACATCAGCTGGCCCAAAGCAAGAGAAAAAACCTAGTTTACAGGGCCACAATCAATTTATACCCCCCAAGAACGATAAAATACCTAATTTATACTCAGGTATATGCCTACATATTCCAAAGTATAAGTGAATTGCAACTTGCCTTTAGGCATAAGATCATGATTCTCTTCAGTCTTTTGTAGAAGGCCTATCAACTTCAGAAACTGCTGAGTATGGTGGTAGCCGATACAGTTACACCTTCACCATGGTTCACATCCTTACATTAGCTCTTCTTAACTGAAAACAGGGATACACAGTGAACATTTTCTAGCATCATGTTTTTATTTACCCTGTACAGAAAGACTTAGAAGCAGCACATGGGGAATTCCTTCCAGATGCCACAGTTATGGTCTTAGCTCTTTCAGCAGTTTAATATGCTGGCATTGTCAGACTTTTCTCGTCTTAGCCCCTAACTTTCTCACCTTGGAACTGCCCAACCAAAGATCTTAGAGTATGTACCCTGGACATAACTGTTCTTCACAAAAAAAGAAACTTCAGGTAGGTTTGCCTGAATCCAGTTTTTATTGAAGGCCTTAATCAATGTGAATTCTCTCTGTGATTACCAACATAAGATTATTCTGTGGGTTCCCCCATGTGAAGCCGTCTTGGTTTAACACTAAATGAGGGCTTGCTGTTCAAATATTTTTGAAGGCTGAACATTTACTATGGTATTCACACAAAAATATCTGTCCATTTAAAATCAATAACAATAAATTTAGGATTGAATTCTCTCTCACTAACTCTGCTTGCTTTTCACAACTGTTTCAGTTGTGAAACTCCAGTGTCAGAAAAGAAACTGTCAGGGCAAAGTTAGAGAAACAAAGGGAAAATGGACTTAGTCACTGAAAGACAGAATCATATACTTCAGGTTTAGAAAGCCTTCTGGGTCGTATATCCCTAGACAACAGGATGGCTGATGCATGGCCTCTAATGTGTTTTCATTGATTTAAAAAAAAAAATGTAATACTCCAGAGAGACAGCATCTAGCCAAATCACCCGTGATAAATTCCTCTTTGTCCACTTAATTTACTATAAAGCTAGAAAACATTTCTTAGTGTCTGCAAGCTTTCCCTTCATTTATTATGTTATCTTTGGAATAATTTAAATGAAGTTCCTTTCTTTTCTGATTGTAAAGTATATTCTGACTTCAGAATGGAGCCACACCATGTTTCTCACATGAGAATATTTGTGATCTGGAGTTCATGAACTGTGCTGCAGTTTAATACAATAAATGGTACTTTAGAACATTCTTTTTAGAAGGACAAGCAATCACAGACATTCAACTGTATTACCGATCAAATTCACCTCAGAGTTACTTATTTAGTTTTACATTTTCCTGTCATCCTCATTATAAAATGTTTCCCTAAATAACAAATGTTGCAGACATGCAAGATTTAAGAACCTAAGGCCAGACATTTTCAACTTTGGCTGTTCTGAAAGATTTAGAGGCTGCACACTGGCAGTTTACTTCACAAGTGATCACTAGTTCATAAACTGAAAACTACAGTTTCATATTCACCCCCAGTCAGCAGTTAATCCAGTGTAACGATGACAACCATTACTAACAACTGTACAAGAAATGATAAAAAATGGTGGTTTTAGCAGATTCAAGTCACCTATTCAGGCAGCAGAACACAGCTCAAAGTTTCTACCCATAAGCAAACATGAGATGTAGAGACTCAGTTTAACTTTGAGATGTCTGTATGTTAAATTATTGTTCCATAAATGCAATAAATCAGCTTTCACAATCTATCAGAATTTAACATCAACTGTTATTAATATAAAAGCACAGAAATTGGTAATATGCAGAAGGTCTAGAATAAAAAGGAAAGAAAAAGGCTAAGACAAGCAAATAACAGTGAATTATTCAAACTTAACGGTCAGAATATGTCAGTTGATTGACATATTAGACTAAGCTTTCCTAACTTAGGAAGTTAGGATAAAGCTGATAAAAATCTTTTCATATAGCTTTTAGAACAGGAGATTTTCTCATGCTTTTGAGAAGTTTGCTGTCATTTTAGTAGCATGTTTCTTAATCAGAGTTACAAGAATCTTCCAAGACTACTAATGCTTTGTGGATCTAGATCTTCAATATTATACATCATAATATAGACAGACATATTCCAAGTCTTCAGGAATAGAAAAACACAGGTTACCACTTTGGTGCTTGAAAAAGTACATCAGTTACCTCTTAGAAAATTTTCTTAGAAGAGATAGAAAAGTACCAAGCTGCTTCTTAAACCAGACTTGAGAGAGGAGATGGAGCATCTGCAGGAATTTTCAGGGCAGATGCATGCTGCAACCATTTTGCAACACACATGAAAAACACCTGGTGTTCCCAATGAAGAGCATGAAGTGTCCTAAACCACTTAATGTGATATAACTGCCCTCAAAGTGGATATGCCATCCCTCAACAAGGCAATTTGAACACCAGATGAAAGCCCAAACAGGGAGAAAATACCAG